TGTAAGCTGCCCAGAGTCCCCCATTGGGGGGAGATGGGCGGGGACAAGTTTAATAAATAAACAAATGAACAAATAAATAAACAAAACAACTTCTAATTCTAATAACTTCATATTCCTTTTCTACATTATTTTTCTGATTGTATGCATTTCTGTAGCAAAGTTCTTTTGGTTTTGCCTCCTAAGATATTCCATAAATTATTGTGTAGATTGCTATTGCTATGTAAACAGTAAATAACTAACAGGAAATGCATCTGATTAAATTATTAGCAAAACTTATGTTGCAATCTAAATGTACGTCTGTGAAGTTATTCTTCAGCGTAAACAAAGCAACCCACAATACAGTCTGGCTGCTTTACAAATATCCTAAGGCTTGTTGACATCATTTTTGTAAAGTATATAGAAGCCTTTGTGGGAGTGACACCACACTTTGCTAGTTCCGCTCCGACAGTAATACAGAATGATGTAAAAAGTTGTATTGGGAGCAAGGAATTTTGTTAATGAGAAAGTCCTGATTCCTTCCTTCCTTCCTTCTTGGGAAGGGGAACGAGGAGAAGAAGAGCAGCTCTGCTGCTGGATGGAGACAAAGCACATTCGTACAACAGAGAGTAAGAAAGATTATATTTCAGTGTTTTTCAAACTCGGCAACTTTAAGAAGTGTGGACTTCAGCTCCCAGAATTCCCCAGCTGGAATTCGATGGGAATTCATCTGGCTGAGGAATTCTGGGAGCTGAAGTCCACACATCTTCAAGTTGCCAAGTTTGGAAAGCACTGTCTTACATGGTCTGCCGTGGCTCTGTTGTAGAAGCAGGGAAAGATTTCAGTGCGCCTATTTGTTTCTGTAAAAATCCCTCCTTTTTCGGGACAAAAAACGAATATTAAAATAAATCGTTTAAAAACTACAAAAACATCAAAAGCTCGTCTGGGTGGCTTCTGTAGAACGTACGATTTAAAAGCACCTTATCCCAGCGGAATCGGAAATGGTTTGTTCCACCACAGTAACTCCCCCTTCTGCCTCGTGCACTGGTATGGCTCAGGAGCCCGGCCTGTGACGTCAACTGCCTTGTTTCTGCCGCTGGCGCCCAGGGTAAGGCGTGGCGGTGGCTTCTTGGCTACGAAATCTCTGGGGTCGTCCGTCTTTGGGGAGGGGGGTGTGTGTGCTGGGTCAACGGAACAAGGGACGAGGCGTGCTAGTTTGCCTGGGGTAGGATCAGGGCCGCCTGCTCCTGGGCAGCAGGAGGCAATCCTGTTGCATTTTCGTCGGGGGGAGATGCGCTTTATTGGGTGGGTTTCGGTTCTCCGAAGGGGTGGGGGTGCATGGGTGGGTCGCAAAGCCTGCGCAGACTTTACCAAGGAAGACAAGGCTTAGCCGGGCGTTGAGCCGCTTCGTTTCGCTCTCAAAATTATACCTGAGCTCCTGCTGGTATTTTCGGCGCATTACAACCACAACCAATACTGGCGCGTCCTTGTTTTGTGATCCCAGGCTGCGTGATTCAAACGCGTCGGGTCGCCAGTTGGGTTGAATAATGCACGGTTAAGTTAATCATGGCTAAGCGTGCCGTGCACATGTAGCCCTTGTTACGTGTTTGTTTTCTGGGGCTGCCGATTTAAGCTGAAATAAACGTTTTGACGGGTAAAATCGAAATGCTTTAAATGAATAAAAACACAGGAAGGAGGAAATCTGCACCTGTTGCAGATATATTTCTTGGTTGTTAGGGATTGCTATTAAATGCTCCCGATATAGGAACGTAACTAGTATAAAGTTATACTAGGTTGGGTGGGTGGGTTGTTTGGTATTTGGATAGGAAACCACCAGGAGCTTCCAGAACTATTGGTGATACTAAAAAGTAAAAATAAAAAAAATCCAAGCCACTTTAGTATTACAGCATTAAGTCGATGTTGGCCTGTCCACTTAGACACCAATTGTTGAGTTTGATTCGAGGAAATTTTTACTCTTTAAAAATGTAAGTTTTCTCCCTTAGAGGGTGTATAAAAATATTGTATAAAAAAAAGGTTAAAAAGTCTGAAAAATGCCTTTAAAAATATTGGGAAAGGAAGGAAGGCTGCTAGATTTGCAAGTAGAAAAGCTACCTTTTCCATTACTTCTATGGTAACAGCTGGTTCTACTCTCTTTCATTTGTTTTCACATTCTTTCGCTTGGTTTCCTGGCCATTGAAACACGCAGGAGCCAGAAGGACTGTGAGCTCAAAGAGGAAATAGGGCAGGAAGTACAGCAGTGTTATTTTGTTCAGGTAATCTGTTGAATTGCATTGTGTGCTACTCTCACGTGTTGCAACAAAAGAAATATGTCTGCTTTGATCTCTGCTCCTGCTTAACATTTAGTTATTGTCTGCATATCATTGCAGTAGAAAGTTAGATTTCACATGTTAATTTGAATGGAGTGGGGAGGTAAACTTATCTGTTAAATGGGCAAAAATATTTTAACAGGCAGGTGGGGCAAAATTCATCAATCAACTGTGTCACAATCACAGAAGTTTATTTGAGGAGAAGGATTTAGGTGCCATAGTCAACAGTTCTGCCTTGTGTATTATTACATTATCTTTGTTGCTTGAATAAAGATGAGTTGAGAAAAAAAGAATAGTTGCACAGTGTCTTGGACATGTAGCTCTAGAAGTCATGTATCTGGGATTATTGAGATTCATTTTTCTTGCTTTTGTTCAAGTTTGAATTTGACATAGCATTAATATCTTATGCTTTGGTTCTTATAGGCTTTTCCTGATGTGGTGCTGGACCATAGAGTGAAATGGCTTATGCTGTCCCAAATTTCTATATGCATTTTTTGGCTAGATCTCAACCCTGCCTGATATTGCCATCTCTTTCAGCCTTCTGGAATCAAAGAAAGAATGGACACCTTTTACAGCATTTGAGATATGCAACTGATATTCCTTTAGCAGAGGAGAATAAAACCACTGTAGAAAATCTCTCCAAGTTATCTGTGGACGTAAAGAAAATCCGTAGGCTGAAGCCATGGGTGCTGTCAAAAGAGGTGACATATATCAAAGAAATAGCTAACATTCTGCAAAAAATGGGAGCTGATGGACCTTCAGTAGCATATATTTTTGAATGCTGTCCTGAAGCCATCCTTTGTAGTCCTACCAATATCACCTGTCAAAGAGACCTGTGGTTATCTGTATGTCAAAATGAAAAGCAGTTAGTGGGGTTAATAAAACGATTTCCAGATGCTTTTTTTAACATTGAACATTATGAAAATCAGGTGGCCAACATTAGATTCTTCAAAGGATTGGGATTGAAGAATGCTATTATCTGCAGGTTTCTAACAAGTGCATCAAATATTTTTTACAATCCTATTGAGAAGAATAAGCACATGATAGAAACTCTGCAAAGGAACTATTTAAGACTAGGTGGTTCACCGGAAAATTTGAAAAACTGGCTACTGAAATTACTGAGTCAAAATCCATTTATTTTATTAAATACTTCTACTACTGTCCAAGAAAACCTGGAGTTTCTTCGGAACAATCAGTTTACTGATTCCGAAGTTCTAAGTCTGCTGTCCAAGCTCAAAGGATTTATTTTTCAACTTAACCCTAGAAATATGCAGAGTAGCCTCTTGTTTTCAAAGAGCATCTTCAACTGCAGTGATGAAGAATTAAAAGGGCTAATTTTACAGTGCCCTGCCCTTCTCTATTATTCAGCTTCAGTTCTGAAGGAAAGGCTGGAGGAACTATTAAAGAAGGGAATCTCTGTAGACCAGATTAAAGAGTCACCTGCTGTGTTAGAATTGTCAATGGAGATAATTCAATATAGGATTAAAAAATTAGATGCCATAGGATACGATCTGAAGAGTGGAACTATAGAATATCTGAATGGGACAAAAAAAGATTTCGAAACTACCTATGGAAAGATACAAGCAAAAAGTGAGAGACCCATATATAATCCAGTTGCTCCTTTAAATACTGAAGATTAGTTTCCAGACCCTGCTTAATAAGCACTGTAGGAAAGTCTAGAGAAAAAGAGTTAAGACATGACCAGTTTGTCTTTCACAATTTAAATAAATTGGATGTAATTGCTGCTTAGAAACGGAATTTGTATTCGGGCCTTTCTTTCTAAATCAGTGTTTCTAAACATGCAACTCCATCATGAAATTAGTGGGATCAAACTGAAGCCCTCTTTGGTCCAGCATGTTCTACAGTGGCCAACCACATTTTTATGGAATACCTAAAAGATAGACACCAGTGCAGTAGCACCCACTGCTCATGTTCTCTAGGAACTGATACTAAAAGGCATTTTTTTCTGATACTGAAAGTAATATATAGCAACCATGCCTAGAAACCATGGATAGCCTTCTATTCCATGATTCAATTTCTTTTTTAAAATCTTCATAAGACTTGTGAGAATGTATCCTGTGCTGTGTGAAATAATACCTTTATTTGTATCTGAAGCTCTTTCACTTAAGAGTTGTGTTATGAGACAGACAATTTTCCATATCTGTTCTCTATATTCCATGTATAATTGAAGGCTCTTTTATCATCTGAAGTTTTGGGTTTTTTTTGCAAATTTAAAAACAATGTTTAACTTTTCATAAAAGGAATTGCTCCAGTCCTTTGATAATTATCTGCCCCTTCTCTAACCTTACATTATATTTAACACTGGCTGTATTATATGTATCATCTTCTCTCTTGTGATCTTGTTTTAATGTTCATTATTTTTAACTGGTTTTATAGAATGTTTTAATTGCCGGTTTTATTGCATGCTGCCCAGAGTCACTTCATGTGAGATGGGTGGCCATGTAAATTTGATAAATAAGCATATAGCAACCAAAACAGGAAGTAATACTCCAAATATGGTTGCGCCATAGATTTGTATAAAAGTATTATAGGATTGTCAACAGGAAGATAAGGTATATCCAGGAAAGAGATGGGAGAGTTTAAAACTTCTGTCCTGCTAGACAAGATGCAACCAGCATTGGTTTAAATTCTAATGCATGCTTGCTTTATGCAATATTTAAAATAAAATTTAATCATATTGAGAATATATTGAATATATTCAGTTAATTTTATAAATTAGTAGGTCAGATTCTGCATACTTGAGTGATAATATGTATTCCCTGCTAATCAGAAGTATCTTGACTGTTATGTGCCATTAAGTCAGTGTCAAATCTTAGCGACCACGTAAAGATTTTCTCAATGATCTTGACTATGCATGATCTGTTTGAGCAATATACTTTGTGGCATTTTAAATTATTTGGAACCATCAACCTGGTATATAGCATGTCTGAATTCAATGATTTCAGAAATGAAGATACAAGGAACAGAATGCCACATCTCACAACTACACAGAAAGCCTGGCTTCGAATCTGTGTGTAGTACATACAATGTTTATTCAACTATGCTATTCCTTTCTTCCCTGAATATCAAATGTGCCAACTTTTAATACTGAAAACTGCATGAAAATTAATGCATTTAAAAAGAAACTAATATATATAATGGGATGAGGAGTTTGGTGTTCTTGTTGATTTCATAGGTTCCACTCCATCAGCCAGTTTGTCCCAAAGTAGTTTCTTGAACTTAGTGAATGATATGCAACCATGGATCAATACAGACAAATGAGGGTAATATTTTATTATGTCACTTTGTCCATCAGTGAAAAGAAATTTTATGGGATCAATGGGCATATCTGGAGAGCATCTCACAAAGTAGTAGTCATGGGAGGGCTTGAGTGTTACAAGGCATCAGAAAGCAAAATGAGTTTTGCCCTAATGAGATATGCCAGCTTTTGAAATACGTTTTCATTAAACAGGTGGATAGGGAATCTGATAGATACTAAGAGAGATGCCTGGGGGGGGGGGGCACACTGGCACCCTGTAGCCTACTGGTATGATCAGTAGATCTCTCTCTTCCTTAATCTAAACATATGTATCCAGTCACTGTAACTATAACATCTCATTTACCATTAAAAGTCAGCTTCATAGAAACATACAGTAAATGTCAATTCTTAAAAGTACATCAATGTCTGTAAATTCTATGCCTGTAGCTAATCCTTCTATAAATTCTATATGAAAACCATTCTGTTTGGAAGGAACTCTAGGACCTTTAGTAAAGCATTTCTAATAATAACACATACACTTATTCTTTTTATATATGCTTTAAGATACACATTTATTAGGGAATGGTTGAATAGTAAAATGACATTAGAGTATCTAAATGCTAGCCAAGGTATCCAATATAAAGATTGTCTGATAAGCTCTCTAATATAGGCATATTGTTATTGTAATCCATTGTCACCTAATTACTGTTTACAAACAAAACTATACCATACTATATTCAAATAGTATCAGTGACGAAACTTGTTTTGCAATGATTTGAAGATTTTTTAATTGCAGTTTTTATGCCGCCTTTGGGCCATAAAAATACTCTTACATTTGGGTGAGCATATGAAGTTGCTTGATATTTCAGGCTAGTGGTTCATCTAATTTAGAACTATCCAGGTCAGTTACCAACAGCTAGTCTTCAACAGTTTTGATACTCAATATTCTTTTTAACTAGTGATGCCAAGAATTAAATATAGAACTTTTCCATGCACAGTATGTGCTCTATCACTGAGCTATGGATCTTTGGCAAATGAAATACAAATTGCAACAATATAATAAATTATATTGGATTATTTAATTTACGAATAAGTAGTTTTAGACAAGTGACAGTTTTTGGTCATTACTTTTACAAGACAACAACTGGTAATCTAGTGTTTATAATCACAGCTATTCCAACCAAATTCGTGTGTTTTTAACACATATTTTAAGAAACATTGCATACAGAATAGTCATGTGAACGTCAGTCATTTTTAATGACTACCAAAATGCTACAAAGTCAACAAGAACATGCTAAAGAGCTTCTAAATGAAACTCACAACATATCCAATAAATCCACAATATAGCCCACTGATTACATAGGACTAACCTACCTTGGCATTAATAGATTAGGGATTAGGAACAAGACAGACAAGAAGATACATATCTATGTCTTGCTCAGAAAACTTTGAAAAGGTATGCATGAAATACATTTCTCGGCAAATCACCTTTTTTATCACTTGCTTCTATCATTATTGGTCATGGGTACCATTCAGCAAACCTACCTGTTGAGGTATCATTTGTAGAAATGTTAATTCTCTTTGAAAATGTCAAGCATAATTCATCAACTTCTACAAAATCTCTAGCGATGGTGGGTGAAAATTGAGTAAACTGATTATGCACAGCAACAGTACTTGCTATATCAGCATTATGTACTCAGGAAATAAGATTTACACATGTGTACCTTGAGGCTAGAAGCCAGAAAAGTGTTTTTATTTTACAGCTGAATGTTATCCAATATTAATGTAAACAACCTAACTGCATAAAGCATTTTTCATTTTGCAGGTGAGAGGATCAGTAAGCTACACCTGAGATTTAGCAGTCTTTCTTTGTCAGTATCAACGGATTAAAAAAGTGTAAAACTCCTTCTACAGACTGCTTTGAGATGACAGACGTTACAAAAACTTTAAAAGGTTCTCTAAGTAAAAATAGATTGTTTTTCACCATAAGGCATGAATGATTTGAGTCGATATACTATACATACATATGCATGCATGTGCACACAAACACACCCTTGTGACAGTTGACTTCAAAAGAATTTAGTGTGTATAAAAATAGTTTCAAAAAGCAAAGATACACAAGAACTCTTTAGGCAGTTCAATGATTGTTTTCCAAAAAAATATAGACACCATAGACTTGAAGCTAGAACATCAATGTATTTGTGTATGGTAGAGGCAACCAATTAAGGGCATAATCGAGCCAATACTTAAGCACTTTAATGTTGAAATGATTTTAAAGGGAGATATATCATCAGAACTTAGAAGTGCTTAATTTTTTGCCAGGTCATTCCCCCCATTTTTATTTTCACATTTTAAATTCAAGATTTCAAAAAAGTGAATTAATATTCAAATGTGAGCCATTCCTTCAGATCCATGTACTTGATTTCTTATCAAGTGTAACATTTCATCAGAAAAGTTCTTGAAGAAATCTAAAGTTTCTGCGATACCAGGCTGCTCATGTCCCTTTCCGGAGAAAGTTATTCTTACAGCTCTTTAGATATTCCTCCAGAATGGTGGCTTTACAGTAGTCCAAATCTTGCAGATTCCATAGCCACACAATGTCCTTGACAAACAGTATTGAATTTCTTTAATCAGATTTATCCTTTTTCTTCCCAGTTAAAGGCACTTTGCTTGAGATGGCAGATCCTACAGCTGTAACACTTCCTGTCACAACTGAAACACTTCCTTTAACCAATCCTACTCCCATGGAAGGCACAGCTGTTACTGCTGTTTTGGTCACTTCAAAGCTTTTCCCTCCTATCCATGCCACACCACCGATTGTGGCACCAACAGCTCCCTTCGTTATGCTGAAGAGGCCACCAGTCACGCGGGTAAGCATGCCAGGCTGTTGTTGTGGATGATCTTTTACTGAATCTAAGGAAGAGAAAGAGTGTAAGCATTCAGAATTAGTTTAAATGTGGTTGAAAAGCATCACTTTTGCAAATGAAAGTTCCAGTGAAAAAAAGTATTTTTTGTAACTGATACAAACTTCTTAAAACTACTTTTCATCTATCTACTTTTTTGTCCTATAACAACTCTTTCCTATGATATATAACAAGCAGAACAGCATTTATTTGGGGAAGAAAAGACAAATGGCAATACTCAAAATTTTCTAGCAGTGCAAAAGAAAATTCTGAATGGATTTTGTTTTTTCAATTATCATTATTACTTAAGGAATTCAGCATTTTTGTCTACTAATTTACAAGACAGGAAATTATTCTGGAGCAGAATCAAAGCTGTTTTGGCATACCAACACAGGAACTGACAGCCATTTGCTGGGTTCAAATAAGGTAAACCATGGCTTGTTTTAATTATGGTTTGTTGAACCATATAGTGCTAAATTATAAATCATTATCTACAAGGCACAATGGATATATTCATATATCGCTTTGAGTCAAAATCAGGGAAATTACATTATAACTCAGCACAATCTGTAAATCCCAGTCAGGGACCATCTAGATACCTGACATGGCATATTAAATTTCATTCCTGAAAGGTGCAACTCAACATTAGAGACATTTACTACATCTTACTGAGCTAGAAAGGTCAACATATTATGCTTTCTAGCACTAGTATGAAGAAAGCACCTTTCAAGAAGAGACTGTTAGCTACTAGCCCTTTATCACTCCTGCTTCATAACTGAACTTCAATTTATTTCAAAAGTTCAGAGAAGTAAATCTGAGAAATCTGAATTTCTGATTGTTTTATGAAATACATTATCATGCAATTAAAAAAACAAAGCAGGGGACAGCTTTTTCAGAAAATCACATCTATTAGAATGCTTTCCAATGAAAAACATCCTTTTTCTAAAAAAAGTGAAGATAGCTGGTGGCTGTCCAGATGTTGCTGGACTACAGTTCTTAATTACAATCAGCAGAGCCAGAAATAAACATATGTACAGAGTCTATGTATCCTGAATGAAAGAAACAAAACCTATTTTGACAGTCATGTCCACCTTCTGTGTTACCCTCACTGTATCAATAGCAAAACCTTTCTCTGAGGTGGAAGGCAGGTAAACCATGACCCTCCATGGGAATGGAAAGCCAGAAGAGCAGGGATGATGGAGATTCTGAAAAAAAGCAAGACTGGCTGGACATCTGAATAGGGACAGGTCTCATTTGTGCAAAAAAACCTCCTTGCAATTACAAGTTAACAAAACATTTTGTTCAAGACCAAGCTGCACAGGGTTTCAAAGTAGTGTTCCCTCCTCAGCAGCAATATCACGTGTAAGTCATAACAAGCTATAAAAGAAGACAATATATTAGGAGAGCAATATATTAATATTACTTGGATTCTGCATAATCTTGGGTTACTTTAACTGCACTAGCTTGGATATTTAATGACAAGAAAAGCAGACTAGTAATCTGAGTGTGTTGCAATGAAGTGGCTATTGGGGGTCTTGAATGTGGGCAACCAAATTATCCTTCAGTAAGCAAAACCACAACAAACATGACTTTAAAAGGAAAAAGTTACTCTTTTTGTGATTTACAGAGTTTTGGTCATGAAATTAAAATGAGTTCATAAATAATAGAGTAGCAATTAAAAAAGAAACAATTTACTGCAGTAGATTTGAGCAAACAGACACGTACTGCAGTATATTAAGATGCTTTGCTTTACTCAAATACAGGTAGTCCTCGACTTATAACCATTCACTCAGCAACTGTTCAAAGTTACAATGGCGCTGAAAAAGGAGACTTACAACCAGTCCTCAAAGTCGCAGTCATTCCAGCACCCCCGTAGTCATATGATCGCAATCTGGGTGCTTGGCAATCTGTTCGCAGTTACGACTGGTTGCCAAGGACCCCACGATCACATGATTGCTATCTGCAACCTTCCATGTTGGCTTCCCCAGAAAGTCAAAAGGGAAGCTGGCAGGGGAAGATTGCAAGTTGCTGGGGTAAGTCTCCCCTACCTGTGTACCCTTCCCTAGCCCTTGTGCGCTTGCACCGCGCCAGCCACTTACACCCCCCTGCACCCCCTCCCTGACTGGGGCCTCTCACACACCCGTGCACCTTCCTCAACCCACGTGACACTTCTCGCATACCCCCAAGCCATGCAGCGGCTCCCTCACATCCTCCCCAACATGCGCAGTGCCTCTCACACACTGCTGCACACCCTCCCTCGCACTTGCCTAACAACTATGGGATTCAGTTAACAACAGTGGGATTCAGTTAACAACAGCAACCGGACTGCAGGGATTTCCTTCGCTAAGCGATGCGGCTGTGCTTTATAACTGCATCGCTTAGCGATGGAAATTCCGGTCCCATTTGTCGTCATAAGTTGAGGACTACCTGTAAAATTGTTACTGTAAAATGTACCTTCTGGAGGTTCACTGTTAAGATATGGAGGAACATCTTGCTCATTCTTCTCTGTTTGGTTCATTATTGCCTAAAAATACAGAAATGTGTAAATTTTAGGTTAATCCACCTCTCTTCAATGTTCCTTTGAAAAGTTACTCACTAGGCAAGTCAATGAAAGCATATGCTGGGACAGGTCTGCCATGGCAGTCCAATCACTGATACAATCCTCTATGGTTGTTAAGAACTGATATGCTAGAGTCACTCATGCTATGCATAAACATGCAACTTTCAGGGTTTCCTGCCAGAAGTCGTAGGATGTGAGCTTTAATCTGGAGAAGAAAAAATGTTATCCAAATCAGAGGCTGGATAATGCTTTAATTTACATTCTTGTTTCAAACAGGTTGTCAGTTGAAGAATTTTTTACAGCCTGCTTTAGTAGAGGCAAGGAAATATTAATTTTGTATTTTCAGCTGTGCAGTAATAACCAAAAGTTGTAAATCAAGTCACAAATATAACTGCTCTGATCAAGATCTTTTACATTAAACTCTTGTATAATAATTTAACAAAATCTAAATTTAGAACAGATTTCTTCTTTTAAACAAGAAAAACAAATAGGCTAAACCTCATTCTTAATACCATGTGTTATTTTAATAACTAAAGAGCTGAGCCTATATTATCTTGAGTATCAAGTGATTAGAATATGAAAACAATTAAGATTACAATTATGTTATTTATTGGACTGTCACTACAATAAATTATGTGTAGCTTAAGAATGCTGAAATGAAGTTGGAGCTGGAGTTAGGACTTTGACATGATATTTGTATGAAACTGAAAAGCAGCATGATAAGCTCAATATCAAGGGAGAAAATACATTCATTGAATAATATATCTTTAAAGTTACTGTAATAACTATGTGATATTTTAAAATAACAAATGGATTTGAATCTAAAGATGACTCAACTATTCAAGCCAGGACATTTTGTTTCTATTTCATTCAAGATAAAGATGTCAGCAATCTGAAAAAGCCTATCATTATACCAAATCAGATAACCACACGACAGCATTACAAGGAATGCTGCCAAGAAACACCTGATTACAGAGATAATTCAATAACACCAAGGAGAAGTACTACCCTGTAGAAATCTTTCATGATCCTTATTCAGGATTATCAAGATCCTATGGAATTTTGCCAAGTGATGTGGCATTAACATCACTCTCAACACTGAAAATAGAATTCAACATAAGTAACTATATACTACCTACAGGTTTAACAGAACATAACACTAGTTTCCACTTCCTGTTCTTAAATTAGAATACAATAGCATTAATTTGCTTTTTGAGCTATTTTAAAAGGTCACATAATTTATCAGATGCTAACAGGTGATTTGTTTAATGTGCTTTCCATTGCTGTCTCAACATGTTTTTTCTTAACATACTCTCAAGAACTAAACAGATAGAACTGTAAAAACTTTGTAAATTATGCACATTTCTTCCTTCCGTAAGCAGACAGCAAGAACTGAACAGTGTGTTTTTTTAAGCATTATTAGTTGCCTAGAATCAACATTACAAGTCAATGGCAAAGTTTATCATTTTAGTATGGTTCAAATCCCATTTTGGCTTTTAAAAATCAATATTCAGTTAAATATTGAACTCAAAAAGCTAATAAGCAGCCAACTGTCACTAGAATATTTTCAAAATCATAGCTACAGATTTCTATAATATAAATCTAAATTACATTTCACATGACTTACATACCTATGTGTATGTAATGACAAGTTCCCTCTTCTTTTTTTCTTCTAATTAAATGACATTTACCATAGTAAAATAATTTTAAGTTGCACAGAGAAACAAACATTAACCTAAGTTAACAAAAACAACACATCTAATCAGCTATACCATCTAGAAAAACTGCTGCGTCCATTCAATAACTGTATAACTGACTGTGGTAGCTGGTAACGTTCCTTAGCTGAGGCAGTTGTTCAGCTGCTATTTTTAGCTTACATGCTTAATGAACAAGCTTCTTCAGTTCTGGGACATTTCAGCATAACTATAAAAAGAGGCAGCTAGCAGACACAGTTATATGTACCTCATTATTGCTATGCAGCCTAATATTGCAATTGCAATTACCAAATTATAAGGAAGAAAAACCGCTAACTAAATTCTCGTATTTATTGTACCAAATAAACAATAAATAGTGTTGCTATTTAATAGCTTTTCAATAATACATGAATAGATTAGAGCAGCCTATAGATACTGGCAAGGAATTCTGGGAGTTGCAGTCCCAACTCACCTGGAGAATGTCAAACTGGGGAAGGATAAACTAGAATACAGGACTGTGCAACACTTCAAACTGATTTGGAAAAGGGGTTTTGAAACCCATAAGAGTGCAAATGGAGCAACATTTGTGACTCATTAAAGTGGCCTTGTCTTTTTCTAGGACGCATGATTCTGGAAAAAAGCATGGCTGCTTTAATGAGTCATAGACAGGGGCTGTGTCTAAGCTCTCACGCATCCAAAGCATTGCTGAGCTCTAGTAGAACATAGCTATAAGGAAGAAGATTGCACATGAAAATTAAATATATGCCTTTCTCTGCTTCTGCACATGTTTTTTACATACTATAATGACTATATAAAATGTAGAAAGTTATGTACAATCCATTTATATGTCAAATGCAACAAATGTATTTATGACACTGTTGTCATGAAAGTCTGCCATCTTTCAATCATGCAAAGATGATCCTTTATTTTCATTACTCATTTCAGCATAAACATAACCAATAGCACTATTTACATCCTGTACATTCTTTCATGTATGTGTATAAAGTCTATCTCTCACATTTAATTATAATTAACATATCTGTGTACTATTTAGTTATAAACCTGCCTCATTTAATTAAGCTTTGCTACAATCACCTTAGTGGCTAAGACACTAAGCCATCAACTAGAGCATCTCTGGTTCAAAACCGTCTTCTGCTATGAACTCACAGTTGCCTCAATCCCTTCCCTCATCCATAATAAATAGATAACACAAATATAGCTAGTCCCCGACTTATGACCATTTGTTTAACAACTATTCAAAGTTACGATAGTGCTGAAAAAAGTGCCTTAAGACCAGCCCTTGCACTTACAAACTTCGAAGCATCCCCGCGGTCATGTGATCAAAATTTGGGTGCTTGGCAACCCATATATATTTATGACAGTTGCAGCATCCCAGGCTCACAAGATCGCCATTTGTGACCTTCCCAGACAACTTCCAACAAGCAAAATCAATGGGAAACTGTGTGATTCACTTAACAACCATGGTGATTCACTTAACGACTGCCACAAAAAATGTCATAAAATTGGGTGCAGTCATGTAATGCCTTGCTTAATGACTGCACTGCCTAATGACAAATTTTCCCGTTCCTATCGAGATCATAAGTCAAGGACTACCTGTATAAAGGCCAAAATACTACATTTGTTTCACAACAGTTATTTTTTAAGAGGCGTTTTCTTGTCCAACCTTTTAGAAAATAATCTTCATATTCATAGATAGGATGAGTATGAAGCAATAAAATATTTGACCAGAATTTTGCCTTTTTTGGGGGGGGGGAAGATGATTTCTTTTGTATCTTTTAGCTGGTTTTAATTGTGTTCTTTGAGCGTTCTTTTTATGTGACAAAAAAAGGATACAAATAATCTGACTCCACAGCTCAAATACAAATCTACTTCTCCATATACATTATTTTTATACATGTAGAATCTGAACCAAAGCCTGTAAGAATTTGAAACTAACTTAGATTATGCTTAAATTCTGTCAGTGATTAAATGTTGGAATGCAAGCTTATTTGCAACTAAATCTACAAATTTAGTCTCCTTCCTCCAAACCTGTGAGACCTAAACTATATGTGAGTTTGGAATAGGTTTCAAGTTTTCCAGCTCCCTTCCTTGCACTATCTTCCTCTTTACATTTACTGTGGGGCCTCCATCATCTTCGAAATTACACCAGGAACCCTAACAACTTTATTTCTCATGGTGCCTGGCACATCACTGCACCAACATTCTAGGTAGGGCACAACAGACCCTATTCTGTATTTCTTTTTCATCATTAAGTTTGTATATTTCCACTGGTACATTGAGCGCCGAAGAATTGATGCCTTTGAACTGTGGTGCTGGAGAAGACTCTAAGAGTCCCCTGGACTGCTAGGAGGTCAAACCAGTCAATCTTAAAGGAAATCAACCCTGATTGTTCATTGGAAGGACTGATAATGAAGAGCAAGCTCAGATACTTTGGTCACCTAATGCAAAGAGAGGAGTCTTTGG